AACAACAACAACAACAACAACAACAACAACAACAACAACAACAACAAGGTACAAACAAAAACTGCAACCCCGTTACACCACATCTTCTTTCTTTTTCTCTACAAGGGGGTAGAAACAAATTCTGCGACCCCGTCGTTGTTTTTTGACTCCCCCCCCAAAACAACCAGACAACAAGCACTACTACTACTACTACTACTACTACTACTACTACTACTACTACTACTACTACTACTACTACTACTACTACTAGTGGTAGACACCCCACCCCTCCCACGTTGGCGCCCCTGCCCTCTTCTCCTGGCATGGTGGGCTGGTGGGCGGTGGTGGTGGTGGTGGGAGGTGGTGGGAGGTGGTGGGTGGTGGTGGTGGTGGTTGGTGGGGTGGTGGACTGTGGTGGTCAGTCCAGACCCTGGTTGGTGAGGTGGTGGTGGTGGTAGTGGACCCTGGTTGGTGGTGGTGGTGGTGGTGGTGGACCCTGGTAGGTGGTGGTGGTGGTAGTGGACCCTGGTAGGTGGTGGTGGTGGTGGTGGTGGTGGTAGTGGACCCTGGTAAGTGGTGGTGGTGGTAGTGGACCCTGGTAAGTGGTGGTGGTGGTTGGTGGGGTGGTGGACCCTGGTGGTCAGTCAGACCCTGGTTGGTGGGGCGGTGGTGGTGGTAGTGGACCCTAGTGGTCTTGCAGGGCTGGAATTGCAAACATTTCTTTCACCCGCCTTTCACTTCAAGCACCCAACTTTTGTTGGGCTTGGGTACCCATCGGTACCCTGCTGGTGCTTGCAGGTTTGGTGACACATAGCCAAATGCCCTTGCTTCTGTCAGCCACTTAGGCACTGCATACGTGGTTCCCAGAGTGCCTGCAGCTCTCTGGCGTTGCTGGAGCGATGTCCTTGGGATTGCCCCAGCTTCAGCCAGCTCTAGCATTCGGCGATGCACATCTTCTGGGACTCTGGGGTCCTTGTCACCCAGAAGCTCTTCCGACCCGTCCAGACATTCACTCACAGCTACATCACAGTCAAGAGGCTGAGTCATGCCTGGCTCTGCTTCTACAACAAGCTCTTTCCGTGCAGCTTTGACCACATCTGATGGAATGTCTTCCCCACCAACACCTGACAAGTAGCTCTTGAAGACTGGGAGAGCATTGCAAAAGGCCTTCCACCTGTCTTGCCCCACAACAAACATTTGCCATTGGGCAGTGCGAACATGCAAATCAAGGGCGATTTGCTTGTCGACTGTTTTGGCACTTGAATTGAAGGGAATATCTTTCTTCAAAGTGCGCCAAGCCCTATCAATTGTCTGGTATGACAGAGCGAAGGTCGTTGCTTGCCATCGACCAACACTTCAACAGACCTGGACCATTCTTTTTCGGAATGGTTGACTTGATGATGCTCAATGATTCCGACATGCCCAGTGGAAGAAAAAACCGGCGCACTGTCTGTGAAGAGGACGCATCTGGTAGTTGGTCCAAACCCAGCTTCGTCCAACGCAACAAGAAACTCCCTCTTGCTAAGCTGAGGGATTCGGGGCTCTTTCCTGCTTTGCCGAAGTGCCATTGGCTTGACCCAGAACTTCTCTGTGCTTCCTCGCTGCAGAAAACCCAAGTACACATACCAGTGCCACGTGTCTTCGGTGCCTAACTGCTCATCCCCAGCCTCACGCCAAGAAAAGACACAAGTCTCATCAGCTTCTATGAAAGCAACAGTTTCCTGACCATCATCTTTGACCAGCTGACCGAAAACAATCTCTGCCTGTCTCTTCTCCGCGTCCATGGCCATGATGAAGCGTGCTCTGCTCATCCAAATCCGCGCGTATGGCTCGGATACACCAAGTTCCCTCACAATCTGGGTCAAGGAATGCCCCTCAACTGTCATAAAGACCGTGAAGATTGCCATTGAGGCGCCCCAGCTTCCGTGCCCCTCGCAAGTCGGAAAGAGCGGGTTGAACTCCGTCACTGAATGTCTTGCGCGACATCTTTGGCATCCTGACAAGATAGAAAGTCGAAAAAACAAGATAATACCCATGTTCAACCAATAGACATTTTTCGAAGCAGGAAAGTTGACTAATCTTGTCCAAGGATCTATAGCTAACGTTATGTAGCCTGATGTCTTGACCAGCCACCTTGCCATCTGCTCCCGCTGACAACCGTCCGAGGACTGGATCGCCCGACATCCCCCATTGCTGGCAAACAGAAGATTGGCACGGCTGCGGAAGATGGGTCAACTGTGTTCAATGCACTGATAATTTTCTTTGCCCTTTCGTCAGCCTCAGAGTCCAGAGAGAGAACCTCTTGTGGGAAAATCCCTTCTGACAGCAGAGCTGGTTGGAGCCACCTGTACTTTCCAAACAAGTTGTGCCTGTTCTCATATATCCACAACAAGTATGAAGGATGGTTTTTGGACACCCAGGTCAAGGACTTGCCTCTGTACTTTCCGAAGTTGAAGGTTGTGCGCTTCTCTGGATGCTCTTCGTCTTCAATCTTGCTCTTCTGCTCTTCGGACAGCTGCACCAGCTTGTGGTTGGGAAAGTCATGTTGGTGTCTAGGACCGTCTCTCTTCAAGGCCACGCATGTCGTACACCACCTGGCTCGGGCTGTCAAGCCCTTGCGCTTGCCCTTCTTCAGACACGCTTCGGCTCAGGCTGTTTGCCCCTGACCCGTCTCATGCTACTTGAGCCGACTGCTATACACCATCGCGTTGGATCGACGAGTCCTTCATTGGTGTTATTGCACGTCTTCGTCGCACTGTTCACCCAATGAGGTATTTGAGGGGGTAGCAGTATATATATATATACAGTTAGATAGATATAGGTGTTTAAATATATAGATAGATATATATACATAAATATATATCTATATATGTGTGTGTATAGTCTATATGCATATATATATAAATATAGATAGATAGCCTGGATAGTGCTTCTCATGTCACTTCACCCAAGCACCAAAGGTGGACTCCAAAGGTTGTGAAAGTGGAAAGTCTGGTGAACTACTTTTGCAACACCTGCATTGCCACCCCAGCTACCAAAGCCCAATCAGGCTGAGTTCCCCCACCTTCTGCCAATGGCAGTGTAGTCGATGTGGACAGTGCGCGGGGCGTGTGCGGAGGCGGAGGGGATGGAAACCCGGTTCTCAATCTATGCACTGAAAATCAGTCTTTTCTTGGAGACTCCTGGAAGTTGTTGGATTCCAATGGAACAATACGGTCGATTTAAACGCCTTCTTAGGGTCTATGAAACTCGTCTGAGGGCCTCTACCACATCCTAGAAACAAAAACTGCGACCCCGTGGTTGTTTTTTGGACCCCCCCTTCCAAAAGATGTTGTTGTCTCTACCCCCCCCTAGAAACAAAATCTGCGACCCCGTTGTTGTTTTTTGACCCCCCCCCCAAAACAACACAACAAAAAACAAGAAGCAGACCAACCGAGACTTGAGTACCACAACGACAAGAAGTCCAGCTACTAACATCTCTCCAAACCTTCGACCCTATCCCTAACAGAATCCCATTGAAATCCCTGACTTGCAACATGTGACAACTATGTTGGGCGGCTGTTTTTGTCTCTACCAACAACAACAACAACCACAACCACAACCACAACCACAACGACAACAACGACAACAACGACAACAACGACAACAACAGCAACAACAAACAAAACCAACAACTCCTGACACTCCCGCTACTCCTCGCCTCTAACGCTTGCTATTCATGCTGGTTCCACGCCTGGTACTGTTGGTGTAAAGTTAGCAACTCGATTGCTACCCCTATTTCATCCAATTCCTCTCCGTTTGCTAAGTCTGCTGTTTACTTTTCGTTATTTTTCGTTTCGAGGGACAAAGACATGGTTGGGATGGCCCTTTAAACCTGCCTTTCGGATCCTTTCGGTTTAGAGGAGCTGCTGCGCAACCGAGTTCGAGAATTCAAAGACGAAAGACAAAGGAACCGAGGGAACGAGGCCGACCGCCGCCGTCAGCCGCTCTAATCTTCGTCTCCACAGGGAGAAGAGGTGGTGGTTGTCCTCTATGCTGGAGGCCGCTGCGTGGCCATGAAGCCGGAGATCTGGTGCTCCAGATTTGTGGGGTCAATCCTAGATATCTAGCTGTCCACCACCGAGCAGAAGACAAGGGCATGTGTCGACATTGGGTAGATATCAGATTAAGACCAAGCGCCAGCTTTGGTGAGGTGAGAAGTTGTCCAGACCCACACCCACCTTCTCCAGTTCTCTTGGGCTGAACCGCGGAGCTCGGGGTTTGAACGCCACAGGTGCTCATGCCCAGTGTGTGCAGAACTTTTGGAGTGGACAGGGGTTTACTGGCGATGGGCTTCCCAAGCGGGGCTTGGTCACTCGGCACGAGGAGAATGAGCGTGGGGATCCATAGGAGGTGATGGAAGAGACGTAATTCTGTAAAAAAGAAACTTACCCTAAGTGGGATACATGGAGACAATACTAGCGAGGGTAACTCGAGGCAATGTGCATTTGCAGCAGGTGGATGCCAAAGTACTGAATGGGTTGCGTTCTTTCGAGGCCACAAATAATTCTGAAGTGCAGGATGCATGAGGATGCACGTTTCCCGTCAAAATGATTCAACATGTACATAAGTCAAAACCTGTGAATTGAATATGGTAAGAGAACGAGTACAAGCAAAGTACGTTTCTTAATTGTTATTTTCCTGATATGTTCTAATCATTCAGATGGTTACTATGAACTTTTTTGGATGTTCACAATTCACAGGCTTTGACCCACACCCTTCGACCCGTAGCCTTCAGATGCGATGAAGGGGAACTCACCCAATGGTGCTTTAAATAGGGGATTGTTGGCTCCAAACAGATCATTTGTCGGGTACAAGTGGTATTCGGATGCTTCTCAAAATGATGCCAAGTCATTCATTTTGAGGCTCATGCAGAGTAAGGTTGGCAACAATTGTTCCATTTCTTGGCAAGTACCATTCGTCAGCCATTCCCAGCCATTCGACAACCGACAAATTGATGAGGGCATGGGTTGACTAGGGAATCCTTTTGATCTGATGCTGTGAACCCCAGCATCCCCGCCCAGGTGGGCAAAGATGACTGGGACGACGACGATCCACGTGGCCTGATTTTGCCCTTGTACCTCCACGATTTCGATCATCTCTTTACGAATGACCGAACATTTGATTCCGAAAATCTGGAAAACGGAAACATTATTAAAAAACATATTTCAATGAAATAGACATAATAAGACAATATTGTTTGGGATCATTTCGGGACATTCTCAAGCGGATTTGAGTCTTGAAATTGAAGTGAAAAGGCAGCCTTTTGATGGTGGTGCTTGTGAGGGTGAAATGGCACAGGTGGCAACAGATTTGCCACCAATGTTTTGGCGGTGTTTGATGGTGGTGTTTGGGCTGCAGGGCTCCCTTGTTGATGGCAAACATTTGGTACTTTTTATCCGGGAAGAGCGATATGCTATCGTATTTCTATATACTGAACAATAACATGATATAGGGGTGCTTGGAACTTTGAAACAGAAAGCGCCCTGAAAGTTTCGCCTAATATTGTCCCCAATGTAGTTCTTACGGTAATTGCTATATTTGGATTAGATCGAGGATGCTCGATCACACACGTAACCGGACAATTCGATGCTATTCAAGACGCTTCGCGTCGACAGCCGCCCACACCGCGCACGAACATCCGAAGTTAGTGAAATGGAGGACAAGTGCAGCTATTTAGGCGCCAGGTTGGCTGTCTTACGGCTGCGTTGGAGCCATCTTGGGGCCAACTTCGTCTACCTTGGGGCCCATAATGGTGATACAACTTCGGCATTGCCAAAAGCCATCCAAAAATACACCTCCAAAGCGCTGTCTCCAGTGGCCCTGCAGCCGAGCAAGAATCAACGCAGCAACCACCCCCAAACACAAAAACTCCTCCAAAAGGCTCTCCTCAGTGGCCCTGCAAGCACGACATAACGAAAAATCATCCAAACATGTACCTCCAAAACGCTCTCCCCAGTGGCCCTGCAGCTCAACCATAGCCACGCATGCGCGAAAAAAAAAGCTCCCCCCTAGCAGAGCTATATGCGTAGGATGTTTTTGCTAAAATGCAGATCTCGACGGCAAGAGCCCCAAGAGCCCCAATAGCACGCCCTGCACCGACAAGCGGTGTGGGCGGATTTACGGCGCGGCACATTTATACCCTTGACATATTTTGTAATGCACTTCGACTATATAGATTTGTACAAATTGATCGTTAAAAAAGATTTTTTTTTTCGAATTAGAATTAAATGCTATATGTATTATTTATACATTCGGATTTAATCATTAATACGTGCAACATTATTTTTATATAAATATTCGCGAGCGATATTTCAGAATATACAATTGTTAAATGTATATAAGTTATATAGGACGGTTATCGATGAATTATACGAATATTTGTTATAGTCTATTCTATAAAATTTAAAGGATATTGAATCTTATTTTTGATTATATTACAGTAATTAAACAAACTGGGTTAATTGAATTGGACATACTGATGAAAACCTCAGTTTAGATATTTACATTTTATGTGTATTTTGTATTTATATTGAAAAACAATATATTATCTTAATATACATATATAGTTAAACAAAAATCCCGCCAAGAGACCCCAAACAGTCTGTGTAGGTGTAGTAGCGGAAAGTCTAGAGATCTAGACGCACTGGGGTCCAGAGAGGTGTTGGTGGTGCAGAAGGTGGAGGTCGTGGTGATGGTGGCGGTGGTGAGTGAGTGAGTGAGTGTAAGTGTGAAAGTGGGTGTGAGTGAGGC